TATATATATATATATATATATATATATATATATATATATATATATATATATATATATATATAAAACAATGTATATATTAAGTAGAAAACTAAAATACCTCAAATTGCTGGAGGGAAGTATACATTCCTTCATGAAGTTTAGCTCGCATGGTTCCAAAATCCATAGGTTCCTCGATGATTTCATAGTAGTCCTCAACCTTAAAGGCTCAAATGAATTCAAAATCAAGGGGTATATATATATTATATAAGGTTTAAACAAATTAACCCATGACTAAAAAAGCACAAACCTCTTCAGGGTCAACTGGTTCAGCAAATATTTCATATATATCCTTCCTACCTCAATGATAGAACTCGAAATCAGACTAATATGTTACCCTATAAAAATGATGGAAGAATTAAAAGGATTAACATATATAATAACGAACCTTTGCAATATGTCGATAATGTGCTCTAATGTCTGTTTATCAGGCAACGATTGAGTGATTGATGGTGCACCCAATGGCTCATCTAAGATTGCAACAAAACCACATTTTAAATAATTGCTAATTTGCAAAACTTAATTCATGCAGAAAATAAAAAGGAAGCCCACCACTGTTGGATGCACGGACATTCCCTTCAGGCTCTTCGATGTGTGTTTTATCTTATCAAAGCATAAACAAGAAACAAGACGAATCATTTTTTTTTTTCCAAATCATGTTTGGAATTTCAAAGAAAAACGTCCATTTATAATCAACTTACCATCATTTCTTGACCCATCTTCTTGATTTAGTTTCTTTTCTACCTGAACATCAAAATGGGATTAGTTTATAGAGGGTATATCTGCCCAAGAAATTACACATACAAACATGTACAGAGATGCTATAAGCTATAACGTACATGGAGTTTTGTTGATGAAGAAGGTTCATGGAGTCTTCTCTTGAGGCTAGCCCTAGTGCGTGATGGTGGGCCTTGCAACTCTTCTTCTCTTAATGCACGAAACCGGCTCTGTTGCTGTTGAGCCTTCCTGATCCCCCTTACGTCATCACCAGATTTTCCAGTTCTTTTCCTCGTCTTCTTGCTGCTTTCTCCATCTCTTAACACTTTCCTGCACTGTGATCACCATGAACACTGAAGATGTGAGTCTTAGTTAATTAAGGAGTCAGAAGTAATGTTGGAAGGTACATAGATTGAAACATTCCCATTTGAAAACCAAAGCAACACTCACATGGGAATTCATTGAAACAGTTGGTGGTGACAAATTTTGATGGGATTAGTATAACACAAAATGGGAATATGATGAGGAGAAATGAAGTACAGATTAAATAAAAGATTCCACCTTGCTGCAATTAATTAGACAGTTTTATGAAATGAAGCAAATTTAGTTATATATGATCTTTTATTTATTTAGTATCCATACTTGCTCCCATATTAACTTTGAAAAGAAAATGACTTGCTATGTATGACAACAAAATCTGTTCCCATGCTTCCATGAGCTGAGTTTATGAGTCAAAATTAAATACGGTATTATTTTAACATTTTATATCTTATATGGTAGATATAAGACCAATCATTTAAGAAAAATCACATTTCATAAGAGGGAGAATGTGACCTTTGTGTTATGGAAGGTTGTATTGATCTTTATTTCAAATATTCTTAAAAAAAATCATTTAGAACTTTTTAACCTCAATGTACGTGGTCTCCCTCATTGCAATGATACAAATATATATTGACCTTTTGTTTTGCATCTGCAAGATTATTCTATTATGGCTTCTCATTGCAATTAACAAATAGTTTTTAAGCGGATAAGTAGATATAGATATATGTGATACTAAAAAAGAAGCCGATAGACCACTTTTGTCATGGGGGAAAGATGCAAAAAATTTACCTACTTATATTGAAATGCATTAGGAAGTCAGTTTACTTTTTTACATATTCTACTTTCCGATTTCACTTTAAATATTCTATGTTTTTTTCTTGTATTCTTAAATGTAAGTCTCGTTTGATAGACATCTTTCCAGCTTCAAACAGATCTTTCTGGCTAAATGGCCCGGAAAGACTGTTTGATTTGCACAAAAAAATGAGTCTTTCCAGGTAAGATATGTCTTTCCCACAAAACTCAAAACCATATATTTCTGACTGAATGAGCTGGAAAGACAATTGCGTCCCAAACCTCGCCTCTTTCTTTCTTCTCTTTGGCGCTCTTCATCAGACATCGTCGCCTCCTCACCAAGTTCCCTACTTCGTCGTCGGGTAATATGGTCATTTTTCATCATTCAGCACAATCAGATAGATGTGCAATGAAACAACATGATTTCTTTCGAAGTCAGAAAATTTTCCCAGACATCATTTTCCCAGACATAAACGATCAAACAAGCCCTAAGTTTCTTCTTAATATTTTCTTCAATTCAATTTGTGGTTCCATTGTTGTAACAAATTGGTATCAAAGCTCTAAAGAAAATGATTGATTGAAGTTTCTTAAATGATATTTCAATGTGTACATTTTTTCTTGTGCATCGATTGAAGGAGTGAAAAGAACAAATGGATGATGATACGATCCAGTTAGGTATTTACGTGGATTTCCCGTTCTAAAGACAACAAGAACATGATCAAGACTTTGGTGTCAAATGCTTCTTGTCATTTAATCTTCAAAAGTTACCAAACGCATTTCAATCTCCCTTTTGTGTTTATTGGGTGTTTGGGACAAAAATGAGATCTCTCTAGAAATGATAGATTATTCCAAGGGTTATTTATTAAACCTTTAGGAGGTGGTGATAACATTAAGTGATAAGTCATTCTGGCTTAAATATAAAGTAAAGGTGGTATATAGAATGGAATTCCTCTCTCCTTTCTTCTTTTTATAACTATTTGTTTTATTCCCAGGTTCAACCCTCATCTAGTTACTTGCTATTGCTAAGTGGGTCTCAATTATATTGGCATTTTCTTAAATAAAAAAAAAGAAAAAAAGAGTAAATTATAGTTTTGGTCCCTGTGGTTTGATCAGATTCACCTTTTCAGTCTAACCTTTGAAAATTTGACAAGATGCATCCTTGTGGTTTAAAGAAATTGTATTGCACATCCTTAGTTCATTTAAAAAGACCATTTTACCCTTACTTTTATATTTTTGTTTTTCTTTTATCTTTATCTTT